TATTATATACAAAATACCCTCAATTAATTCTACCTTTGGATAAAATATTATACAATTGTTAGACAAGAACATTTAGCTTCCACAGCAAAGTACATGCACTTAACTTTCAAGCATTTCAAGGGCACGAGCCGTTTGAATGCAAAATTAAATTTATGATATGGTTACTGTAATTTAATATGACAGTGTCTTTGGTGTGTGTGTGCGTGTGTGTGTGTGTGTGTGTGTGTGTGAAATGTAATTGTGGAGCGCAACATAATGCAATGAGAAGTTAAATGAATTCGACTCTTTAATCCTACATTTTGTTTTTACTTTTGTCGATGTGTTTTGTTGACAATTATTAGAAAATAACTCATTCTTTAAGTTAGTTTTCCTTGCCTGTTTAGGAAATCTATCCTCATGTGGTTTGAGGGGGATGAAGCCTGAGCAATTGTCTTAACAATAGATCATCTGGATTTCTATCACGACAGATTTTGAGGTTATTCGTCTTGCAGTCTGTTTCTAGTTTCTCAGCTTTGACTGCTTTCTCTCTTTTATTTCCGGCTGAAATGACCATAATCCAAATACCTGAATGGCAAGGACAGTTTCCCCAGTTATAATATGACAGTGACATTCCCTAAATCTAGACATGATAACGATGGGAGGAGAGCAGGGGGTAAAGGTTGCCAAGGAGACCAAATAAAAGTGTCAAATAAGATAAGATAGAACTCTATTAATTCCGAAGGAAATGCTTGTGCCAGAGTTGAAAGATTACAACAGAACGGATAATATAAAAACAACAGAACTACAATTACTAAGTTTAAAAAAAGAATACGGTCTATATATATATATATATATATATATATATATATATGTCTTCATTCTATATGCATTGTGCCTTCTAAGCGCCGGGCCCCACTTGTTTAGCCCCCCGGTGTGTAAAAGGGAGCCCACTCGTCAAAACATGAAACGCGGGGGGGCGACTCTCCTGTTCTCCCGGGTTTTCCTCATTCAAGGGAATCTCTGTGAAAAAAAAAATAATTCACAAAAAAATAATGACCGCGCGGAACGAGGAGATAATGGCCTCTTCTTTAAGATCATCGTATGGTTCAAAACGCCACAATGTCTATTTAGTTCACTTGGTTACCAAGGGGGGGGGGGGGGGGGGGGGGTGGCGACCGCAGTTTGAGGTCAGCTTCCCTGGTCAGAAGGTGAAGATCAGCATTGACGTCACGAATCCTCCTCACAAGGTCACCTGTTTGCTCGGCGCGATAAGACGCAGCTGTTTGCTCAGAAAAGCTTCTGCAAGGCAGCATTGAGAGGAGAGGGCGGCACTGGGACTTCTACCAAACCTTTTACAGATGTGACACTCGCGCCTCTTCTCATATACACGCACACACACACACACACACACACACACACACACACACACACACACACACACACACACACACACACACACTATTGACAAACTTGTGTTATGTGAGAAAGAGATTGTCCAAAAGCGACAGGCTGAACTTGAAAGCTGAAAGTACAAAGTAGGAGTCAAGTGGAAAGATCAATTATTTAATCCAAATTAAAGATAAACTCAAGCATGTGAAAAAAAAGCATGTCAAAACTCTTCACTCAGTGAGCACAACAGAAGTATATGTGGGATAAACTGAGGATCAATTGTCATTGCTTTGGCACAAAATGCATTCACTTTTCCTCCCACCTCACTCTCCATTCCTCAACCCCATAGAGGAATTATTTTCCTCATGGAGGTGGAAGGTTCATGACCACCATCCACATGATCAAATGTCCCTCCTGGACGCAATGCATGCTGGATGCCTGGACATATCAGCAGAAGATTGCCAGGGATGGATCAGGCATGCCAGAAGGTTCTTTCCTAGGTGTATTGCCCTAGATGACATAAGATGTGATGTGGATGAGAACCTGTGGCCAAATAGAGAAGACCGTGTAGATTAGCATTACTATTGTATCTGTATCAGTGGATGGTGTGTATACAAATTCTTGTATTTTGGAATTACTCAGTGCAAAAAAATAAAAAATGAATAAAGGACATGAAATACATTGAAGCATTCTGCATCATGTCTGATTAATTCCAGTAACATATATTACAGTGAATTATAAACAGAGATGTGTCCTTGTTTTACACAAGAAAACATTGTATAATGCTACATAATAGTGTTTTTTAGGTAATTGTTTTGTGGGTGACAAAGTGTGTTTGTTGGCTGTCAACCTTTGCTCGTATTCTGGAAGAATGAGTTGATTTGAGACGTGAATGTTTTGGCTGCATGAAGCAGTTTTTCGTGCATTTTGAATGTGAAATAAACTGCTGTGGCGAGCTGAAAGTTGGTTAGGAGAACTGTGTGAAGAGTTTTGAAAAAGTGACCTAAGTAAATGTGTCCGAGTGACTAAAAAGCTATAACCATAAATCACTGTTTTGCCTAGAAATGATATTTTTCCCACATATATCGTTTCTATCCAGCACTCAATCAAGGACAATTGAGTGAATCAATCAATGAAGTAATGAGTGAATTTGTAAATAAATTGAAGGGAATTTAATATTTATGTATATATTTGTGTATTCATAACAGATGCCACTATAGCCAAGCCATGCAAATGAGTCAATGCAGAAGAATGACTTAAATTCAAATATAACAAGAATTGTGTTTTAGTATTATACTCCGGATAGAAACCAGCCCGTCTCTGTCTGTTAGGAGATAACTATGTTTAAGTCAATTATGTTTTGGTTAATTCAGAGATGGATAAAAAGAGAAGACAAGGCAAGCTGAGGCCTATTTTATTTGTATAGCATGATGCAACCAAAGTGCATTATCATTAAAAGCCTCAAAACATTGGGCAAAAGAAAAATAACCTTATTTGAAACAGACATTAAAACAATTAACAAGCTAAAAATAGAATGAAAGTTGCAGGGCAGTTCATCAAATATACAAAAATAAATTGCAGAAATGCAGGAACAGCCTTACGTAGGACGGTGTTAGATCCCCAGAACCAAGGTTCTAATCTTTCAACATCCTTGAATCTGGTTCAATAAAATGCAGCAGCGAATAGAAAAAGTCTTCGGTCTTAATTCAAAGCAGCGTAGAGCCTCAGCAGACCTGCAGCTTTCTGGGAGTGAGTTCCAGATATGTGGAGCAGAGAAACTAAAGGCTGTTTGATTCTGACTTTGGGAACAGAGAGGAGAGCCGTCACAGACGACCTGAGGGGTCGGGGATGGTTCGTGAGGTCAGACATGTACAGTATTTGGGCTCTAAACCATTCAGTGCTTTATAAACCAACAGCAGGATTTTAAAGTCAACTTTTTGTTGGACCGGAAGCCACAGAGTAAAGACCTTCAGAAGTGAAGTGACGTAATCCACTTTCCTTGTCTAAGCGACGACTCGAGCTGCAGCTACTGACGATGAATGCATTCACACGGTGTTTTAGATCCCGCTGGGAAATATTCCTCTAATCATTAGCAGATTTCGTAATTCCATAAAACATTTTCAGTGCTGTTTCTATTCAGACGAAAATGTTCGAAACTGTCCAAAAGGAAATGTCTGTGGTTGGCTCTCAGGGAGAAAGGATGAAGATGTTAAATCCTGAGATTTCTCTCCTCGGTAGAAACGTCCTCACAGCAGGTCGTGTGGGTGAATCACTCACATATTTGCTCTGTGTCGAGCAGGACCGGTGATGCCTACTGTGGTCTCATTCTACGACCTCTCCGACATCTGATTACCAATTAGTCTAATTGCTGAGCAGAGATTTTCTTTGCTTTCAAGCTACTGCAGGTTTTCTCTCTTATTATTTAGAAGACAGCATGTGTCCCAATTACAATTATGGACTACTTATAAATCTACACGAATAGTTATTATTTAATTCAATCTTGTTGCGTGTATTGTAATTTCATCTGTATATTTTACCACACAATATATGACCCCAGTGGTTGATTAGACCATTGTACCACAGTGAAAAATATTAGTTCACTTGCATCTTTACACACACACGTGCTTCCCTTTTTCTCCCAGTTCTCCTAAAGGAATCTCTAGATTTTGAAATTAACTATTTTACCGCACCACTGTAATCCGGCTACTTCAGTATGGATATTGACAGCCGTTAAACATTTAGAGTGTGCACATATCCTACACATAGTATGCAATCATCAAATTAAATTCCTATTGCCTATTTCATACCCTTCTAAAATGAGAAAAGATACATTTTTGTGACACGCCCGGGTGAACAGCAGCGACAGCATAGAGAATGAAAGTGCCATAGAACCAAAATGAAGGTATTGTAAGAGCTAATTTGCTGGCCCTCAATATCTGCACAGGCTCTCTGGTTCCCTCACTGTCTCCATGTCTATCAATAGCTCCCCAGTATACTGGAGAGAGACACAGAATACAGCCGAGACGGAATGGAAATGCTCTCCATCCCCTTTTTTTGCTTTAGGGTATGACAGTCACTGTAAAAAGTTACTGTTTCAGTTTTGGAAAATGTTACATGCGATTCACGTCTTACCAGCAAGAAATAAAAATCATGAATAACAAGGTCTGCAAGGTGTGTCTGTTCTCCATGATGTGTCCTGGAGCGAGACACTGAAAACCCAATTTGCTGCCGATGGCCAGACCTGCAATTTGCATGACGCAATTGATACGTGATTGCATGTTTTTATGGCAGACTAAGAGGCAAATTATAAAGCACTTTCCCCGGCAAGGTAGAAAGATAGAAAGTGAAGGTGTTGAGGTTCCCACTCAATGCTGTCTCTGTTATTATATGTTAATCTCAAGTAGGACGGCCTTATGCAAACATCCCTTAACTTTGGAAACTCTAGTCTTCCACACTTTGATTAAAAATGCACCAAATGCACGACGACTTCTCCTGTCTTACTCAGGTCCAGTGCTTTAGTCAGCCCTCGCCAAACGTGGCCTTCGGAACAGAATCCCAAACGGGTCCTATCTTCTCTGGCCCTTATCTGACCGCGGCGTCCTTCAGAGGCCATATAAAGAGCAGAGAGCCAGTCTGTTGCTTGGCTGTCACTGCCAAAGTCAGACAACATGCTGCCTGCTGTTGTAAAGCTCTGCTGTGGAATCTCATACCCACATCTGAGGAGCCTTACAGGTAAACGCCCTCAATCCTCCGAGGAAGGTTTTTTTTCTCCGTTTTTTCCTGCTCATGAAAATGGGGCGATTCTTGTAAACCCGCTGAACTTTTGTTTCTTTCTTTTTCATTTCCCAACCGCTCAATCGTGCAGGACTCCAACGCACAGCCGTGGCAGTGATAGGCCAGGAGCTCACTCACCGGCAGCGATGGGGACAGGTCCACCATCTCATCAGAACCGGATTGAAGCGTAACGGTAAAAAGAACAAAACAAAAAAAAAAAGAAACAAACAAATGTGTTCTGGTTGTTGAAGGATCATCTTTCTGCAGAGCCCAAATCGGAGGATATAAATCCTGCGCCTATGAAAGAAGACCAGCTGCTCTATGTACAAAAAGGCCAAGAGGCAATGAGGAAGGCTCTCTGCATGTTAGAAGACACACAAGGATGGAAGGTCGAGACAGAGGTAACATCTGATTCATTCTTTTTTTTTTTTTAATCCTGACTTGACTGATAACCACTATACGTGACAATTAAAGACGCGCGTGTAAAACATAATATACGCCCTTTTGAAACTTATTTTGAAGAGCGGGGGCGACGTGATCTGCAGCAAAGTGACGCCCGGCGCCGGGAAGGTCTTCAGGCTGGAAACGGTCCTGGAGGCCAGTGTGGACGAGCTCTACGACATCCTGTTTGCCCGAGTCGAGGAGATGCACCAGTGGAACCCGAGCATCCAGCGCATCACGGTGAGCCTTTGACAAATAGACACGGCGTCATCTGTGAAACTGTAACTTATAAAAATACCATATTAAAAGTATTCAAAAATGTTTCATTCCTACATATTTTGTTTAATATTCATTGAAGTCATGCCTCAGGTTGGCAGCAAGTGTAATGTATTCTTACATCATGCAATCTTGTCCTGCAGTTTGGCAAATTTCGTTTTTTTAATTGGTTTCTCTTTTAGGTTCTGAAGCATGTCGGACCCGAAACGATCGTCACTCATGAGGTTTCCGCGGAAACAGCAGGGAATCTAATTGGCCAAAGGGATTTCCTGTGTGTCAGACACAGCTGCAAAGAAAAGTCCAGAGTTTATCTTGGAGGAGCAGCCATTCAGCTGGAGTCCTTCCCACCTCAGGCCGGCTTTGTGAGGTAGGAATTTATATATATATATATATATATATATATATATATATATATATAGCTTTATAACACTGTCTGAGTAGAGTTATCTTAGTCATCTAAGGTGGTAAGATGTCAGAAAAAGGAGGAAAAGGAAAATCTTCAGACTGATAAATTCAGGGGAGGGTTTTTGATTTTCTCAAACAATTTGCTCTCAAACACTTTGTTCTGAGGGTGGTTATCAGCTGTCATATCTCATGTTTTTGGGATACAAATGTTTTATCTATCAGGCGGATGTCAGAGAATTCTTTAAGGATGAGAAAATAGCAGAAGAGAAAAACGAAAATAAAAGCAACGTTTTATACCCTTTAAATGTAAAGTAACAGATGTCGCAGTCACTCCAAAAAAATAAAAAAAGCAAGACAAGACAAACAGGTCTACAGCTTTGAGAGGCTTTACAGGCACAGCAGTTAAATCCTACTTTAGGTTGGTGCTTAAATGTTTACAGTCCTCATTTATTGCATTTGTATTTTTTAATTTGCAAATTAGCATACCACAAAGTACATTTGAGGATGATGTACTAATTCACACTTATTTGGCAGGTATTAAACCAAAAGGTACACATCATATAGTCAAGTAGAAGAAGTATAAATAAAGTATAAAGTATAGATGTATAGCTGAGCAATTTGCATATCTGCCCTGGAGTCATGCTGCTATATGTATGAAATATTAATTCATTTATATAACTTGATAAAATCAAGAGGGATGACAGCAGTTTGTGAATGTTTCAGGTCTGAAATAGAAATACACATAATGGCCCCGCTCATAATTACATACTATATCCACAAGTATATTAACAAGCTATTGCCTTTGCATTTTGCAGAGCCGAGGATGGACCGACCTGCATCGTTATTCAGGCTCTGGCCGACGATATCGGAAAAAGCCGCTTCACGTGGCTTCTAAATATGGATGTTAAGGTAAAATCATATTCCTATTTGGAAATGCAAATGCAGACTCTAATATGTACAACCCCCATGTATTGCGACAAATATGTTCCGGCTCCGCTTGGCCACTTTTTGATGCTGAGTGAGCTGCTCAGATTATTCGTTTTCTCCTTCATGCAATTGATAAACTCAAAAACAAAACACAACGCATCCCTTTCAGTAAAGCAATATGCTAAACTTATTTGCAGGTTTCAGATGCAGAATGTACTTGAAGTTAAAAGTGAAAAGTACTGTCTCTTTATTGACATTGACGTCTGATTCACACGGACTTCGAAAACCAAAACTAGCATTTCAGTATTTAGCATGTTAGCTAGACACAGCACCTGTTGCTGTTTGATAGATGTCAAATGCCAGGTGGGGCAAATACTTTAATTGACTTTAATTGATATCATGTTCACCAACTAAAAAAATATATATAGTTTGATAAAATAAACATACTTTGAGATAAAGATATAGAGCCCCCAACATTAATTGGAGGTGTCGAGAATGAATGAAGTGGACACATTATCCACACTTTCATTTTAGATTTAAGACACTTTCAGGGTGCATTATGGGAAGTGCAGGATGGAGCATTTTGGACCCAATACAGCCACTGGAAACCTGCTGCTGCTGTTTGTTTTGGGTCCTCCAACTTATGGAGGTTCTCTCCACTGCTTTTCCCATTATCCCTACAGTTTACTTGATAACTATGCAGATATCTGCTTATGAAGACCATTGCAGCTCTGGACCACGAAGCCAGAAACGGCATAATTGAAACAGCTGTAAATCATCATTATTCTCTTGACACGCACTGAAATGTGTTCCGATCTTGTTCTCAGGGCTGGCTGCCAAAGTCTATTGTCAATCAGGCTTTACCCCGAGCTCAGCTGGACTTCACCAGACACCTCCGCACGCGTCTCACAGCGGGCACCACCCTGGGCTAACTGAGTCCCCGAGACACCAACACATGCAGCTACCCCCCCCCCCCCCACCCCTCCCATGTCATCACTCAAAAGGACAAGAGTGGGTGATGAAGCTACGGTGACAGACTTGCTGCTCGGCACGAGGAGCACCTTCCAGCGAGGGCGGAAGACGCTGCCTGGGGGAGAGGCTCCGCTCCAGAGCCGGCAGATGCCAGCATCAGCGGCCCAGCGGCAGGCCAGGCCAGACGGCAGCTGGTTCATAGGAATTAATGTCACAGTGTGCCACTTAAACCTCAAGATGATCTGATTAGGAGTCACCATGTATCTTTACACACACACACACACAGACATACACACACAACTAACTGAAGGACAGCTGGAAAAGAAAAATGAATAAAAGTCCTTGAATGTACCTATTTTGCTCGTTTTGAATACCAGAGCACCGCATAACAGGTGGCTGCTCTCAACTCAATTACACTAAATCTACAGAAGGCAAGCAAGAAAACTGAATAAATAAAGAAAAAATGGAGACTGGAGGAAACATAAATAACAAGAATCGCTGTTCTTTCAAACTTGTTTTACTTTGTTCTCCATACCACTTAAAAATTCAATAAATATTAACATTTAAAGCTTTCATTACGTATATACAAGAACTATACAATAAAAATAATGATGTTATGATCTGCAATGCAGTAATGACGTAACAGTATGACCAACCACAGTCTGTAGACTTACAGCATCGCCTACGTTTTTATAATTGCAACATACTTTCCGTTCAATTCCTGGTTTTTCGTTTCTTTTCATGACTTCAAATTTACACTATATACATTTTATCTAAAAAATATATATCAGATACAAAAACATAATTATTACTTTTTTCATCCTTACATTGTTTTCTTCTTTTTAAAGCGTTGAATCAGTGACGTCCACAAAGGCAGAGGGTGGGCATGCTACAGTTGGGTTGGCCCTGTAGACAGTCATCTTTTTGTTTTTAGCAGTGACATTAATCACTGGTACGTTAGTTTTGGGCACAAAAGAACAAAAAAAGAGCACCGGGGACAGAGAAGCTATGAGGCTGTCAGCCAAGAGTGACGTCTATGGAGTCTGGAGTGTGCCACTGGAATAAAAGATTGAATTAACAGGTGTCTCATTATAATTCATTAGATTATTATTACGAAACGCTATGAATTAATTACATTTGCAATTAAATGATGAGGGATAATAGAACGACTTAAAATTGTCCCTATTTCATAATAATGAACACTTAGTTTGGTCGGTTACGTCATTGTGCCGACAACATTCCGGGGAGTCTCATGCACCAAGAGTTAGTGACGCACTTTGCTGCCCCCCTCTGCTGAGTCTGTATCTACTCTGTGGGTCGTAAGTTATCTGAGTTTTAGGTGCCACAACCTTCTTACATGTTGAAATGCGAGAGCTTTTGAATGAAATCAAATGCAAATTGTGAACAACAGAAAGCCGTATTATTTTAAAACTGTACCAATTCTTGAAACAGAATGAAAAATAAAAATGATTAATCTGCCAATTTAGTTTTGTTATTTAATTTGTATCTTAAATGGACCCGTGAATAACTAATTACGAACTAAAAGCAGGATCCACAGCTGGTCTGGCACACTCTATTCTCCATAGCTGACACGTGCACCTTAAAAACCACGGCCTCTCCTCGCATGTTCACAATACAAGTTCAATAGTAGTTCTAATGCACTTGAGAAAACAGGATTACACAACTGTACACAGATAAAAACAAGAATGTAGCAATGCAGTCATCACATTTTGAACACGCCTTGAAGTCGTTTTTTAGTTTACAGCACCTGACAAGTTTTTTTTCTTTTTTTCCATATTCGAAGCACACAGGGCGGAGCGACGCTGCGCACAGATCACCGGAGTTTTAATGAGGTAACCATCGCTGGTCTGGTCTAAATTCACTGGCATGGGAAAAAAACACAACAACAATTCTTGCAACAAAAAAAAACACAAAAAGAGAGAAAACCTCTGCAGTGATTCCGTCACACGCCGAAATCCGACGAACGAGGCCGTCTCGCTGAGCAGCATCGCTCACTGCTGAGCTGACAGGGTCCTGTGGCTCGAGTCCCTCTCGGATCCTAGGTCGTCCCTTCTTGACCTGGCAGCGACTGGGCCTAAAGTGCTGTTTGGACTGTGCTCTTTAGAGGCACCTCCAGTGGAGTCTGCTGTGGGCCGCGGAGGCCCCGGAGGTAGAAGAGGCCCCGCCTCCGACTCTCCTTTCGCGGCGCTGAGGAGGGAGTCGCCGGCGGGACGCTTGGGCACGGCGGCCCCCGTGGATGGCGAGGCTTCACCGCCAGCGGTGGCGGCGGCGGTGGTGGTGGGCGGGACGGTGGCGCGGAGCCGCCTGCCGGTGGGCTTAGTGGTTTGCGGCTCGCTGGGGGTGGTCGCGGCGGGCGGGGGGGCCTTGCGGGTCGCAGGGTGGGAAGGAGCGGAGGTTTCAGGTTCAGCCGAGGCCACTTGGGTGTTTTGGAGGTCAGGGGCGTGTGTGGCGAGGTTCTCTTTCTTGTTGCAAGACTCACAGCAAAGCTTATTATATCCAGGGATGGAGCAATATCGGGCAAGAACCTCCATTTGACAGAAAATGGATTTATCCCCCAGACATGGCTCATCTAGTGATAAAAGGCGAGAGGGCGTCACCGAGGTAGATTCAAAGAAAACACGTGTACATTTAATCAAACAAATTTACATCTTGACCTACTTGAAGATATTTTGTGAACAGGGTTTTCAGGAGTCCTTTGGTGTACAGCTTCGTCTTTTATTGTGGAGTTTTCCAATATGCCAGCAGTGAGAGGAGATCCTGGCTGTCCTGGATTGGAGGACGAAATAAGGCAAAAATATATTACTACATGAGGCAATAAAAAGCAGCCACAAAATACAAGAAAAGCTCTCGACAGCCTCTCGCTACGTTAAATTAAAAACAGAGATGTCTTTTTGGAGTCAAGCTTGGTACGGCACAAAGTGACATCTTTTTTGACAAAAAACACTTTTATTTTTTTCCATTGCATCTGGACACAAATTGCCGGCTCCAGCTTCTTCTAACAGGAAGCTAAATGAAAAAAAGCTGCAGACGCTGACATTCATCTCAGTAAGAGTTATAGACAGGGTCCATGAGGTATTCAAAAAGGTTCTTTGTCCTAAGAGGATATTGAAGACATCAAGTGTGGTCATAGCAGCTGGTCCGTTTATGCATTCATCATGCAAACTCACAAAAAAACACATTCAATCAAATAATATTTATGTAGCTGGTGCTCCAAGACGATTATGACTAAAGGTGGTTGATGGGTTAGGGTTAGGGTTTTCATAAGAAAAAAGCCTGGTTCTAGTCTTTCAATCAGTCTTTCTGCATCCACAATAAAAAAGGAAACTACTCGATCAGGCCGAGGCAGTCTCTCCATCAGTGCTTGTGAGAGAGGAATGAAACTGGTAAATTCACAAATACTGTTCCAGAATGACTTGCATGTTTGGGTCTCACCTGGACAAGAAATGAGTTTGCAAATGAGGACCGTCTCCGGCTTCTCGCCCTCACATTCGCCGATGGTGTTGTCGCTGGCCTTGCAAACCACCTGTCTTTGCTGAATCCCTTCACCACAGGTCACTGAACACTGCATCACACCACACACACACACACACACACACAATATTATTTTTAAGTCTTACCTATATGTACAAGGAGCTCTTTTCTCTCTTTAAAATAATGAAATGAATGAAGCCCTGCTGCTGTAGTGGGAGCACTGCTCAGGAAATTATGCAGAAAGAAGAGATCACATTTTCCAATCGAGCCCCCGGGTGGGTTGGAAATGAGGGAAAAATACTTTGATGGGATTAAATTACAAAAAGCAAAGGGTTAATCATGGTGGCAATTTACAAAAGTTGTATTTTACCAGTCATGACAATACGTTTGTGGGCGTATATCATTCCTAGAAGCTACCAGCCAGCTTCAAACTACTGACAACTGACTCACTATTCATCTCATTCATCGCCCGTTCAGTAACTCATCTGTGGATGCCCGGTAAAATTTTGAATGTGTTCAAATAGATCCACAGTGTAAACTGTTGCCATGCCAACATGAGTGACAACGAAACAATAGTTTTGTAAAAAAACAAAACCCAAAAACCTTATGGCTGCGTACAAATAATTTTGTGTGGTGCGACGCGCCTTCATTCTACAATCCCCAAATTGCCACTAAATAAACGTAAAAGTCCGAACCGCTCACTCACCTGAGACCACGCCCCTGTCCTCCACTGGGCGGGGCACGCGGTGTGGTTGCAGACCTTCCTCGCCTCCGGCCGATCCTCGGTGCAGTGCTTGCTGTGGACGGGCCTGTTGGTGCCGTTGTGGAGCGCCTGCATGCACTGCACCGCCCTGGTCTGGTAGGCGAGCTTTCCGCACGTCTTACTGCAGGGACTCCACTCCTCCACCATCCACCTGACAGCACAGCGGGCTCTTTGGAAGGTTTCTTGCCATGCATCAAAATAATACCGTGTCAAGCTGGAGGGCACTTACGTGGGCTGGCTGCACTCTTGGACATTGCAGCGTTTCCGAATGGGTTTGGGCTTTTTGCTGGTTTCACAAAAGTTTCGATGTACCAAGCGGCTGTTACTCCTCCTCCTGCATCCATATTTAGTGTACTGTATGCCTGAAACATGGGAGGTTTATATATAGATATATTTACTCTTCCAAGAAAAATTGGCATGAATTATTTAAATTATTATCAGAATACATTTCTACAAATATCTCAGTGTCCACTGCTGACCAACAACATCGGAATATATTCATTTTTTCAGTTTTTTCACCTGGCACACAGCAGCTAACAATGTGCTGCTTTAATGGCTTTGTAATAAAAATGTGTACTGAAGAGTCACTGACCTCCCCCGCAGGGTTTGGAGCACTGAGACCAGCTCTTCAGTGCCCACTCGTATGTGTCTAGTTCGGCCAAAAGGACATTGTTGTTCGTAATAAGCGGTAACAGGTCCTCGTGTATGATATACTTGTACGTCAGGCTTATCTTTGAATCTTCTTCCATGGGAATGACCTGTGCAAAAAAAGGTTAATTCCAGAAAAAAAAACTACATGGAAAAGGTAAAGAGCGATGATGCTGTTTCAGCGGCACTCACCAGCACCACAATGGCTTCATACAAAGGTCCGGTTGTTTCCAGAATCTCCTTCGCACCATCGAGAGAATACTCCCACTGTAAACCATTCTCGATGAATGTCTTCGTTTCAGCGTCTTCGCTTTTTGCATTCAGTATAAAGTTTCCAGTCACTTGATTTTTCACAGCTGTCAGTAAAGGGCAGAAAAAAAATAATATGAGAATTAATCTGTGCATCTCATGTAGTTTTTTTTTTGCTTCATTCATTAAAAATCTTAAAAACGTTTTTTTTTAGATCACTGGTAATGACGTCTCTTCTTTCGATGAGAAAATAAAAGCCAGAGGAAATGTGTGTGTGAGTAAAGAGGAGAGGAAGGGTTTGGGCTGAATGCCACTTTGATCCTGACTCGTCATCGTCAGTCGTAACAGAGAGCTATTCTAAGACAAATAATATGAGCCTGTCACACATCACTTTCTAGTGCAAAGTTGATTTACCGATGAAGGTTTCCTGTTCTCTCTTCCGCATTTATTTACATTAAGCTCAAACGGTGAAGTCATTTGAAAAGCGGTTTAAGGCAAATTTTTCTTTTTTATCTCAATACCACCTGTTATGTGTGTCGCTCTCACAAAAAGCAGTGAAAAGGAATCGTCAACTGAAAACCAATCTTTTCAGTGTCAAACGAGCTCCTTTGTGAAGGTCAGCAGGTGCGGTCAAGATGGATTCACAGCAGTTTACGATGGATTTGAACACAGAACAAATTGAATCCAAGTCGCGATATCAACTGTTAGCGATGTCGTAACTGTAACTGTATCACATCATTAGGGAAGCGCGGCGCTGTCACGGAAAGAAAGATGCAGCGTCTTGGAAAAGCAGCCAGTTAATTGGATAAGAGGCGGTCAAAGGGGATGAGAAATTCGTGGAGAGGAACGAGAAAGAAATCACGGCTAAGTGACAATGTGTGAAAAAATGATGATGATCACACCGATACAGTGAACCGACTGACCGGATGCGTTTCTTTTTCAGTGTTTTCTGATTGATAATATATTAGAACTCCAAATTCATTCATAATACCGCACTCAAGAAAGACAAACAAGGGTTTTCTTAGTTTAAGTATGAGTAAATGAGTTTCTAAAACGAGTCATAGTGCCAGTTAAGATCGAATGGGTTTATTCTCATATTCTTTTGAAATACCACGTTATGAATCCATTGTGGGAGTACTAACAGAAATCTCACAGAGAGATATTCTTTCTGTTTCTTTTACTAGGTAAATTGAGATATCAAAATCTCTTTTCCAAAGGAGGATTAGTAAGATACCTCAAAGGGCATCCCCACATTGAGATATCAGCCAACACGGTTAACATATTTATATTATTTGGGTAACCTAAACCTTGGGCATAGATTTGTGAATTTGCTCCTATAAGAAAGTAATTATAACCATGTGATGTGGTAATAAAAACAAAAACAAACAAACAGGAAATGTGTAAAGTTTAGAAAAAACATTCTCATGTTCACTGAACAATTCTGTTACTCTGCACCGATATTAACATGTGTTTCATGTCAAAAATTTGTGAGACACTCTTACCAATTATATGAGGAGAAGTCTCATTCTCTTCGATGACAATGTGGCGCGCTCCTATTGGGATGTCGAACATTTTCAGCATTCCTAAAAATACAAAGAGACACGGATCAGTTCAGCCCTTAAAATGACGGCGTCTTATATAATAACTTGTCGGAAGCAGCGTTGCTGAGTCCGGTAGCCGGCGGTTACCATTCTTTTTGGGCGTCTTGGTGAGCGTCAGCTTGACGGTCCGACAGTGAGAGTTGTCCCCTTCGCACACGCCACATTTGTCCTCCTGTTTGTAGGAACCGACCTCCTTGTCGCAGCCTACATGCTGTGAGGGGGGACAATCAGATAAGGCTGACGCGGCGCCTGACTTTAATGCAGGCTGAGGTGGTGAATAATGCCATGGGAAAACCCTGCACGCAGAGGTCTAACATGATGCTTATTGGAAAGACAGACGTAACAGGAATGCAGCCAGAACAAGGAGCGGACGGCTGCAAGAATACGAATCTCAACTTTAACTCCAACGTGAATATGTGTGCGTTTGTGCTGGAACGAATTATGGAGATATTTGACTGCACTTCGGTAAAGGACAATGTTGTTATTCCAAAGGGCAAAAAAATATAAAGATAAAGATGAAAAAATACATACATTTATATTGTAGTGTCTTTAAATACACTTAAAACACGGCGTGGGTTGTGTTTGTATCTGCATGGACTAGTGTGAGAGTAGCAGACGCACCAGACACTCTCCTCGGGCGCACACTCTGAAGGGCTCTGAGTAGCTGCAGCGGGTCCCGTCGTGCATCACCTGGTTCATGAACACCACCTCTCCGGTCTCCTTCGACTTGCAGCTCATCTCACATTTTCGCGCCTCTAAAATCCCCAAACACGACCCAACCGTGGTTAATGCGAATATCTTCAGGAGGATGCGAACGCCCATCTGTCTCCGAAAAATGCTTGAGAGCAGTTTTTCCCGCGAATGTAATCAGTCACATTGCGAAATTCAAAGAACGCCCTTGAACGAAGGAGCCGGCTTAGCTGTGCTCCGTACAGACTTACCATCTGGGTGCTCGTACGGGAGCCAGGTGTGCTTGATGTTCTTGTGGTACTTGTTGCTCCTTTGGATGCACTGCTGAGCACGGAAGTCCTCATAAGGGCCAGCACACTCCTCCGTGTTGCACATTTGGTAGTCAAAAGCAGAGCTGGGGCAATCTCGACCTCCGTAGGCAGGCCTGATGAATGACAAAAAAAACTATATTCCCATCAGCCTTTCTGGTAAGATGCTTTGAAGTGAAGCTGGATTTAAACAAGAGCGATGGAACCAATGAAATGGCCGTACAATTATAATTTCGATCCATTATCTACTAAGCCATATCATTTATAATAATTGATTCTTCTCCTTTCACATCTCTATGATGCACTTGCTTATTTATAGACGGTAAATATATATATTTTTTGCATGTTATAGTAGGCTGGAAACTGGATAGAAAAAGTGACAATCTTAAGGAATGACTGTATCGTCTTTGCTCTCCAGCTCTGACCGATGTCATTATCTGTTGGTTCAGCACCCTGAGAGCATATTAGCACTCTTCAGCCGCTGAAAGAGAGGTCATTTCTTTGTGTTCTCTTTTTGTCGCCGCCGCAGCACTCACGCCGGGTTGTTGCACTGTCTGCTGCGAGAGCGAACTCCACCGCCGCAGGTTCTGGAGCAAGAGCCGAACTTTGACCAGGAGCCCCAACTCCCATCGTGGCCCTGAGGCTGCTGGCTCGATCTCCAGATGCAATGGCCCTTGAAGCACCACTGAAATATAACGAAAAGAACAAAAAGGTCCAGGCTAATGAGGCTTTTTATTTTTTATTTACTTCCTCCAGAGAGCTGCGCTGAACAAAAGTTAAATTGTAATTCAAAGCAGATTCAGAGAGATTTCCCACCTTTCCCGGTGCGCACTCTGTTCCATCCACCGGAGGACCTTTTTTGGTTTTACAAAAGTACTGGTTGTCGGGGTGACTGCACCACAGTTGCTTGCAAGGGTCGTAAGTTCGAAACTGAATGAGAAGAAAGTCATTTTGAGCTTGAGTCACTCCTTTTGGAAATGTGAACGGGCGAATTCATCGATCTGCTGTGGATGTGGAAAATCCACCCTTACTGCAATAGTTATCACACATTATTGACTTTCTATTGAAGCATGTGTCTCTCAATGTATCATTTCCGTGTGTAAACACTCGACTAGTTGCATCTCTTTAAATATTCATTAATGGGCCATTGTCTCGTGTGCGTAAACGGTCTAATAGTCATAGTCAATCGATATATTAGCAAGTTGTGAAGGACTTACAGCGGTGCACATTTTATACCCGACACCAAAGTCAAAGCGGCACTGCTCGTCCATAGAGTAATTTATGCCAGGGAGCTCGGGGAGCTTGGGCCACTTGTGTTCAAAGGGATCATCCAGCAGGCAGTCATAGGAGCTGAATAGAATATTAGAATAAAAGAGTCACACACTGAATGTGAGATCCTTGAAGAATAGACCAGACGAAGAGACAGAGATACAGCCAATACGTGAAGAACATCAGAAGTGACGGGAGGGGAGGAAACGCAACGTACTGGATGTATCGATTGAGCTCCTGCTTACTGCAACGTGACCAGTGATAGCGGTGAAAAGCTGCTTGGACCAGTGGCGCCATGATGCTGCCCATACTGGTCTCATCGGCACAACGATTGCCCTGGCCGTCGTGCTCCATGCCGAGCCTGAGGAGGTAGTTAGTTTATTGAGCGGGAAGAGAGTGAGATAATATAGTAGAATTAAAGATCAAGAGACAAACTCAATATTTCATGGAGCACTAATCAGAATTGGTGAATGAAGTACAGCGCGAAATGAGGTCAGAGGCAAATGTTGTTGCACCCGCCCAGACTTGCACCCCAACATATTCCAGTAGGGAGTAACGGTTTGTGTGATGATTTGGTCCATTTTGGTCCATGAGGTGAAACGTCAGCTTCACAATGTAAAGATTTAATTAAATAAAATTATATTGGGTAACTCAACAGCTGCATAAATAAAAAATGAAAGAAAAGCAATTATTAGATTTTCAGCAATTACAGGCAGCACAATGGTTATGTAATTGCATAACACACTCAAATTTCAGGCTTTTACTATTTCCTTTGACAACTGAGAATATTTCTTCATTTGGATGTTAATCACCTCCCTGATAACCGATGGCGGAGGTAATCAAAGACTTTAAATCAGCAAAACAGTCTCATTTTGGTGAGCGTCTTAATAGGAATGTTTCTGGATGAATGGGCAATTGACTGAAAGAACATTTTGAAGGCTTACTACGTAAAAAAAAACATTGGAAGTAGCACATTTTTCACTAATGGAAAAATAAGACTTCGGTAAGCAATGAGACCCTCGTCATTTCACTCAAGCTACTTTTTAAAGTTATGCAATGTTGAGTGTCCCCTAATTATTTTCAGACTTTTTTAATATACTTGTATGAAAAAAAAACTATTTTTATTAAGTACATTGTTCTTATAGTTCTTATAGTGGAGACGTTTTTTGGTGGTTTTTAATGGTACATTTATTGTACATTTCAACTGTGCGTCTCAAACCGTCACTGTGGCCTTTTGAGGAACTCTATGACCTTTGAACTGCAAACACCATCACAGTCGAAGTCTCCCACTCGGAAAGTGGTGCGTTCAATCAGGGAGTTAGTTCGCTGACAGGTGCAGGATGGAGTCCGCCCACGATATAGTGACCTTTTCCTCTGTTCTTTTGTGCAACGCGGCAGTCAATCAAGTCCTTCTGGACACTTTGACGTTCGGGCCGCAGCGGGTGGCGCACTTCACAGACATTACTTCATAAACCGTTTAGAGCCCCATCAGAAGAGAGACGGAGCGGGTGCTAAATGGACCGGTGTAAGAAAGGCTGTGTGCAGATTGTAGTCTCAGAAGGCCACACTTGTGATTTTGGGATGGACAAAATCAATCTAATTAATAAAAAACATCGTAACTCTGTCTTATGGACACAGGACGAGGCTTCTAAGGAGTTCAACTAAAGTTCAATAGGTTCTGTGTGGATACAGCCTGTTACTAATCTCAGTTTAAATAATAAGGAGCCATACAGCTAAACACAGGTGCAAAGTAAACGAATGCTGTAGTCTAGTAATGTGCTTATCTTAAGTAAACAGTGTAACATTTGCGGAAATCAGGCTATTCTCTTTCTTCTGAGAGTAATTGAAAAAATATGTTTTCTCAGTAAATTAGCTTGGTAAGCTAAGCTTAAAAACAAGATCGGAAACAGCCATCAGTCCAAAGGTAACAAAATCCGCCTTCCCGCAATTCTATTCCACTACACTTACACCTACATAACATGCACTCAGGGACCATTTAATTAGGTAACAACAGACCTCTTTTAATATTACATCTATCTTTATAAATACTTTTATGGAGAAGGTCATATTAAAGGCGTTGATGTATTGGAATATGTTCTACTGAGGATAGTTTCCTATTTTTGGTCCCTCACATTTACATAGATAATAATACCACTCAGCGTAATGCAGTCAAGTACAACAAACCTGACTCACCTGAATGTCAAAACATTTGAATTGACACCTCGGTGACAACAAAAACTAGGTATTACAGTTTTTGTTGTCTTGGATTGCATTCAAAAATACAAGTGTACCTTATAAAGTACCACATATATATATAGTATACATGCAACATAACTACAGATAGCATGCAAACCCTGCTGGTGCTTTGACCGCCATGCTATTACTCACACGTGGCCGGTTTCATGAGCGACCACGAAGGCGGAGGAGAAGCCGTCCTCGTGGTTCAGGGTGCAGCTCCTCAGCGGGTGGCACATCCCCGTAACTGGAGCGTAACCTGGGCAACGCAAAAGACCACACAGCCCTAATAATCAAGAACCAGGATGAAGGCTGTGACACTGTCATTCAGACGCTGAAGCACGAGGTGGAACATCGGCGATATGTGAGATGTGATGCAGTTACGGCGACGGTCTGTAGGTCTTGGCGGAAATATTCTCAAAGTAGTAAAACCAAACCTTTTTTAGTTTAACCAAACGGCGTCGCCAAAGGGAAAATAATAAAGGGTAACGATGTAAGTGATGTATTCAGCCTGTCTGCGTTTACAGCCGTAATACTGAATTTTTGAAGGCAATAAAACTCCATAAAAGCAACATGCTTAGTGATCATGGACAGAAGACGCCGGCGAGAGTTTAAGCAAGAGAAGCATCTCTTCAATCTGCAAAAATAAACATGAAGCTGGGAGACATTTCATCAGCACCGTGCTCACATCTGCACCGGCATCACAACATTTCAACCAGAGTGCACCAAACCTTGAAGCAAAGAACAAACATTAAACATAACTCGATCAAGAGGTGTGCAGCCATCAGCGCGCTTCAATTTGGTTCAGAAGTACGCTCGTCCTGGCCTCCTTTTGGCAACTTTTAGATAATTTCCATGCTTTCTGACCATCAGAAGAGCGTCTTTTGGCATGCAGGTAAAAAGCAGAAAATGCAGCAGAAAGACAGCCGGCGATGAAGGGTCTTAAAATGCATACGGTTATTTTGACGGTGTTGGCAAAAAGAGAAACGTCTGCTAAGTGCGTTGTAGCGGACTTATTTTTTATTTGTTTTTGCTGCAGCAATGATGATGATGATGATGTCCGTCAGGGCCAGGTGATGGTTCTTTTTCGTAAATGCAAGAAAGATTGACACGTTCAGTGCTGCGAGTGAATTAGCCAAACATGAAAGCAGTTGGAATTCGAATTCCACGAAGTGAGGCTTTGCACATCGAAGCGAAGAGGTGCAGCGGCAGCAGCAGTAGCAGCAGCAGCAGAAGCTAAGGGTCAAATATGTGTCTCTCACTGCCGATGTCACGAGTGAGAAGAGGCCTGGTCTCTGTCATCTTCCTGACAAACTCAAAAACCGAACATCGTGCCAGGAAAATGAAATCCGCGGCAAGAAGAGCCGATCAAAGACACTCTAAATCACTCACAAGATCCGATCTAATCTCATTTGTAAATGCGGCACATTCACCGGCAGTTAACAAAAACAAACCAGCGTGTTCAGCTTGTTTGCTTCCACACAAACTGAATGGATTCTTTTTTTTACCCGTCCCACAGCCACAATATCTGTGTTTGGACATAGAATATACCATCTCGCAGTTAAACCTCGACAAGAGAGTGTGATGTCGGCCTGGGACCCTGAGACGCGCCACCGGGTCCGGCCCATCCCAGAGCAGGGCGCCATAGAAACCGGGCTTGTTATGAACACAACACAGCTATGGCAACATCCGGAGGTGTGACAAGCAAAGCAGGTAGCCTCGGGTTGTCCTCTGAACATGACACATGTGCTTTAGAAGTTAAAAATAAACACGGGTCAATGCAAGATGTTGAACTTGAACACAAAAGGATGTTTGTTAAGTTTCACTGGAGGTTGGGAGGCTCACTTCAACATTTGTTTGAAGGGCTGAAAAGAAAGAATACAGCGTGAGACATGTGCTAAACTGACAGAACATGTATGGTATAAAACCATTGAAGAATCATTGCATACATGTGTTATTAGGGTTGAGTGGGCTGGTTAAAACACCTGTTATTTGAAGTAAATAACCAACAGACATTTCTGTTTTTTCTCTACATGCCAAAAACCCTCTCGAGCAATATCAATCAAAAGTTTTTATATCTGGGGTGGCGTCAAAGTCGAGTCAGCGAGGTGCTCGGTGATTCTTTCCCCGTGAGGTCGAATTCGGTTTGTGACCTCGGCGGCCCGTTTTTCCGTCGACTTTACCTGGGCAAAGACTTGAAGCCAACCCCTTTGTGAATGGAAGCAGATCAGCACTCAGTCTGCACAGTCCTCGATCGAGAAGAATACAGTACCTTGCATACCTGCGGGACCAAAATCTTGCCTTGTGAGGAAGATGGCATGATCGTGGTACTCGGCGTGGTCGGGGTCGCGGCGCTGCTGCGTGTTGGCCCAGCGGCACACCTGCTCCAGGCTGCGGGACGGGTTGCCGCGCTCGATCAGGCTTATGGACTGTTGAAAAAAAAACGGACGTGTTTGACTCTCTCTCTGTTTTGTTGTCTTCTAAATCACTAAAACAAACAAAATGTACTCCAATCATGTTGTTACAAGGTTATACGTAGGCTGCAATTATCGGAAAAAAACAAAACTAAAAATCCTGTGTGCGCCTCCAAAGGCGTGCTGCACATGTCATTCGAATTAAAAGGAAATTTAAATAATTCTGCAAATTGAATTGGCATTCACATTGAAATCTTCTGCCAGCATGAAAACCGCTCTGTGTATTTGTTTTTCTTCCCCCCTAAAAGTGGCACAGAACTGTAGACGGATGATCTTTTTTGTCTTTGCTACCAGCCAATGCAACAACAAAACTCCGCTGAGGATGTAACAGTGTGGTGACTGACAACAGCGCGGCTCACACCGGAGGGTGTACCCAGGTGGACGGGCAAAACCTTGTTCTTTCTTCTCCCTTTGTTTGCTGGGGAAACATTCAACACGTTCAAGCTCATCTAAATGGTTCTGTGAAAACAGCGCAGCTCTCCTTTGGCAACCAGACAAAAGAAGTGAAATGCACAATGCTCGGCCTCCAGGCAGCATCAGTGACTCATGAAGATTAAAAGGCACTCGAAGGCAAAGCTCACTGCTGTGAGTCCCTCCTTAGTACGTCATTTGCAGCCTGCTAACACCTGAAAACATGAAAGGTGAAATAGAGTAGCGATCGGCGGCAAATGACTCCAGTTTTGACTGGACGGATATGATTTCCGTATGTTTGTGTCCTGCATTAGTCTACTTGTGATAGATGTAATACCGGCCCCCCGCTTGCCCGTCTCATCTTCTCACCTCAAGTCACCTCATGTCACGGCTCTTCCACCCAGTGCAAATGTGTTTTTTAGCATCAATCTTTGGTGTAAAACGTTACGCCGAGGAGAAACCGCCAATTTTTAGTGGCCTAGGCATAATAAAATTATAGTCTTTGAAAAAGTGATATTTTCCTTTTTCAATGGAATTATTTAACCACCAAGATATATGCTTCCTAATTCTGTTTTAACAACCAATAGGACCTTGATTATGAAAGACATTTTGGAAATATAATAAATCCTTATTTTGGAGAGAACTTAGAGTATATCTGAGGATTCCTTGTCCTATGTTTTCATTGCGCGTTCCCATCTAAAGTGCTAAAGCTGACGGTGAGCCAGATGCTTAAACACACGGACACCCGCTCGCCGTTCAACATTTTGACACACGCTTATATGGAGAAAAAAAAAGTGTGACATAGCTCACCTGTCGGTATCCCACCATTATCATTCGGACAAGTACAACATTGATGTTGGTTCCCAAAGATTCATCATGGTAGATTTCATCAACCTGGAAGGAAAGGTACATTATCTGCCAATGATCACAGGGATTAAAAAAAAACACAATGACGGTGACTGACATATTGATGGGATTAATCAACACTATTCAGACTACAAACAAGAACAATGCTGGAAGAACCTTCTCGAAATTTCATTTCTGAGCTTCCCGGCAGTCTAACCATGCACAATGTTTTTCCTTTTACGTCTTTTATGAAAAGCTTGGAAAAAATATGAAATATGTTTAATCATTGGCAACCATCCAACAACAACAGTGTTCTTATGGCGACACAGCAATAAAGTCAATCAACAGCGACTTTTAACCTACTTTTGTTTACATACATTTGATTTACTTCCGTTTATTACTTTTTATTAATTATTATTCTGTTCTCAATTTTTCGACTATTCAAGCTCCAGACATAAGTTTTAAGAACTCGTCTATCAATGATACTGATCTATCAAAGGTCAACGAGTAACGAGTGAATTGAAGTTTGCTGTTTTAATTAATGCTTCTTATCTCTGCATATGCAAAACAAAACCAGCAGGTATTCATTTGCTCCATGGAAATTACAATCCTGACACAAGTGACAGCACATGAACATACCTATCTCCAGAATTACAGGGAAAGCAAACCATCTGTAAAGTCAAAATTATGTATAAACCAGGGGTTGGCAACCTGAGGCAAACGTGCCACCAGTCACACACAGCAACAGCACGCAAGCAACAGGTATGCAAGAGTTTTGGGGAAATGTTTAAGTTCCCTTTCCATCTGCACACTAAGTTACTCTTTACTTACAGATTACAGCTCTGTAGTATGGTTCACACAAAAATATTTTTTCCTAACCTAAATTTGATTTGTTAAAGTGAATTTTCATATGATTAACAAGATAATTAAGAACTGGCATTTCATATCACCAAAGGTTGCAGCTGAAGTTTATTTTCCTGTCATAAAACCTCAGGCTATAACCTCAGGTTATCTGGATTCAATAATAGATCCAGTATCTGGGTCATTTTTCATAGAAAGAATGATGAAGCTTGGGTTTCCTTGTGTGGGCTTATAAAGGTTCAGATGGGGCAACGAGAATAGCGGAGTTCTACTTTGTCGAGGTGCGGGCATATGAGGCTTCTCTGGAGAGAAACGATGGCAGTGTAGAACAAAAGCTCTGTCACCGAAGAAAGACTAATTTTGGCTTAAGACCAAAGTTTCTCTGGGACGCAAGGTTACACCCAATGCATTTAAGCAAATATTCCACCAACAGTAGCCCATTCAGGTCAATAAATGCAGTAAAGAACACTCAACTGAACCCCAATTCTCCCAGATTTGTTGCAAGCTTAAATACCAAGACTGGTCTATACTGACCTAAACACATGTGTTTATGTTGGACCCCAAACAGAAAAGCTGTCATCCAAAAAACGTCATCATTAGTTCCATTAAACACTGAATTTGCACATTTTTCCTTACTCGGGACTTATTCAGCTAAAAGGTTGAATGTGAGTGAAGCGAATACTGTTTTGGTAAGTGCTCCAAACCCACGTATGCTGGGATAATTACAAAGCCAGGAGGAGCACGCGGAGGCCTGGAGTCGGACTGTTGTAGCAGAAAATGAGAGTAGCAGCTGTGGGCTACAGGCGCTAGGTGTCCCTGGCTCGCGTACGGCATCACACCGACCCGGACGAAACCCTGGTCCACGCTCAAACAACACAGCCATTGTGCAGCAGGCACCTCAGCAGTCACCTTGGCTCTGCGCAGACAGGATGCTCAGTAATCAATCCCTCAGGGAGAGTTTCTCCAGGCGGTACTACACATTCTGCAGCCACGGAGCAGGGATTCGGAGGGATTTGAGCGAGCAGAGCTCTTTCAGACACAGCAAGCTCGCGGCTTACCAGTGGAACTAAAGAATTACGACCCTCGTTTGTTGGAACTGGACCTTTCACTCGCACTTTTCTCTTATAAAATAGAAAGAATTTGATTTCACTTTGCACATCTATCAATTTAAAAAACAAGGACTTCCTATAATGATTCTATCACGCAAGTGATCTAAATCATTTCATTGCTCACCAGACAGCATTAAACACCAATGTCTGCTAATTACAGCATGCTCAGGGAACCACGTCATAGCATAACAAGCAAGGCCATCCAACTATATTTCTGCGTGCTGATTTGGGGATGAAATGTGTATGTAATATCCCAAATAAACACGTCATTCCACGCCAGAGCTCATGGTGCTGGTTTTCCCCAATGCCCTGCACAGCTCCCAGTCAACTTTCTAATTGGTCTAGTGAAGCTAATCAGACCACCATGCAGGGTCCGAATGGTAACTGTTACAGAGTGAAACCAGCACCCTGTGAAAATCTGACTTGAGGGATTTGGGCCCATTAAGTAGATTATGGTGGAAGGAGCTGGTGGAACCCGTAATGAATGAGCTGAGGTTTCTTTCTTTTTTCCCACCTCTCTATTGGTAATCCATGAACAGCTAGGGAAAATGGGGGTCTAGGGAAAGTGTGGCAAAGGCGTGACGTCGGAGAAGACGAGGAGGTTAAAGACGCCTCAACCGGTGAAGATCAGCAAACACAGCAGCATTTTAAGTGATCGCTTTAGAGCTGGAGAAGGAGTTTTTGAGAAACGATTCATTGTTCAAGACTTTTTTAAAGCAAACGCAAAAAAAAACGATTGGCTCGGCCTCATGGATACGTCACGTTGTGAATTTGCATAAAAGCAGGAAGTGGGAAATCCATGCGCGTTCACATCTAAACACCAGAACGGACTTACTATGTTCATGAGCGTGAGAACGTAATTCTGCACGTGCTCCTTGCCGTGGAAGCGCACCACCGAGTCGTCCACAGCCAGCAGCACCTCGATGTTGTAGTCGTCTTTCTTCGCGTGCCTCCTTTTGCGCTCGGACTCGGGCAGTTTTTGCTCCACGAGATCCAGAGCCGCGGGAAGGTCCGCGATCCCAAAGTCGGCCACTGCGAAACATGAGCGGCACGTAAACAGATCAATTCCAAAGGAAACCTGGGAATCTGATGCATGCGTTAATAGCTCTTTTATTCAGCTTCTGCGGTGATTTATGTGCTGACACGAAAACAAACTTCCGTCTTTGAGTCTCAGGATGTGCAGGAGGTATCTTTGGGGATTATCGTCGGGCTTGTGGTCTTTACGTTTTCTAAGCCGCTTTATCACAAAATACTCCCCTTGGACTCATAAATTTCTGGCCTACAGAGTTACAAATGTATTTCCTCTCAGCCAGAATTCAGCCCAACGATGATGTGGCAATCGGGAGCCGGAATCCCAGACATTTATTCATTTAATCAAGTACTGTTGAGCTGTTTATTGTCATTGTGATATTCATTCATAGTAGACATGTTGTGATACAAATGTTTGGAACATCTATTCACTTTAACACGCTTTAACACCAAGTGTCTATAAATGTATATTCATAGTAGCAGATTATTATAAATAGGCTCATTTTACCACAGTTTACAGAAGACAATTACAAATGTCTCAAGTCATGCTCTCTTTATAAGCAAATGAATAAACAAACCGATTGAAAAGCGCATTTAACTCTCGTCTGATAGAAAGTTGGCTCATGTATCTTAAAGCTTGGCGTGCGGCTCAAAGTTATGACTAATAATAATCTTTTGTGAGACGGTGGGGATTCAAGCCGTCCGGATGCTAATGGAAACATGACACAGTATCTTCTAAACACTCCTGAGGTCAATAAATCGGATACGGTATTTTCTGTCGCACAATCTAGAAAAAATGAAAACGCAGTAGTAGCGCAAGCGTTCATTGAGGTTAAATGGCGATTAAATGGGACATTGGCTCTCCCAACAGGACGTGACAGAACTTTAAAAGGAAACAACGGCAGTCAAATGAAATGAATGAAAAAAAACGTTCTAAACAGTCAAGGTCAGTTTTCACAAATACACGACGCTAATGCTTTCTTCTCCGAGCGAAGGTGTTTCGCGTAGGTAAAGAACAGTGATGGAAAAAGTCATATTGGCAACAATATTAAATCGAAAATCCAGCTGCATCACTTTATGGAAGAATGTAGCCTTTAAAGATAAAAAAAACGAACACAGTGTTTTTTCACGAGGGCAGTAAAGAGAAGAAAAGAAGGCGTAGAAAATGTGGATAAGTGATTTGATTAAGAGGGCCGGGGAATAGAATGAAAGGATGCCTGAAACCGGCGTGAACCAGATAGTATAATAACTATGACTATAATACTCAAGCTATTGTTACACTCATGAATAGAAAAGGAATTATTAAGTGAGCTGGGTGGTTTGACTGCGAAGGAAGGGTAAACCCCACCGCTCTCTCCCCTCACTGGCTCCCCCGTCCTCCCGCCCTCCACCCCCCCCCCGGCCCAGAACTCCCACTGGAGCCCAGAATTCCTCACATTACCAGCTGCTTTCAGGCAGAGGACATACAGAGCAGTGATGGGAGTTTAAAAGCAGCACGTTTCAACTCGTAAGCTTCAGATAATGTACATTTGTTTAACTTCTGTTCGAAGCGCTGGTTTCACTGGTCTGTGAGTTGAACAACCAGCAAGCATAAATTCTTGGGAAGTCTGAAAAGTGGCTTTAAAGGGCTCGTAGGGTCGGTAATCTTGTAATGCTTTGAACGGGTGTTTCTTGATTTGAGTCTTACATTTTGTTAACTGTATGAATCTGGCAGAGTTGTCAGGCTGTTGCTTGTATAATTACTGAATAAATAAATAGGTAATAATTTTGTTGAAGCTGCATTTACTGTTTTGGTGTTGTCGCTATTGCAAACATGTTGTCAAACTGTTGCCTGTTTACAAAACTGATGAAAGTAAGACCAGCCGCTAAATGCTTTACTAAATTCACCAGCTATTCACCAACTATTTCCATTCACGTGGTTGGTGGTTTGTTACAGGCTGAAAAAAAGGGTTTATGGGAGTGGTGAGCTAAAACAGGCTATAATGCTCCATGTACCGATACCAATAGATTTTCATATCGATGGAAATGAATGGAGCTCAATAGCTGCCTCAAACACACACGGTGCTTTTTACCCCTGATGACGTCGGGCCTTCTCGCCGCCTATACCTTCATTGTGGAGGTCCTCCCTCCGCTGGCCCGTCTCCCGCTTGATGGCCGACCTGCGGTAGACCACGTGCACACGGCCCTTCACCTCCACATCCTGCTGGCCCTTCTCGAGTGGCTCGATGAAAAACTCCCCGTTATCAGTCCGGATCAGACCTGCCTGGAAAAAGAGGGCTTAAAATGAGTGCACCCTTCGTTCCCATTAAGGCTTATTGACATTGAACAGAAGAAAATGGTGACTAAAGATGTATCTATTCAGCTGTATGTGAATTCAGTGAATTCAAAGCTCTGTGATGCTCAAAGAATCATTCGGTCAAACTCCTTCTAACCAAAAGGACTAATTTTCTTTCGACCTTCCTGATGTGCTCTACTTCAATCAGAAATTCATGACAAATACCCTTTCAGCGCCTCGAGGATCTGGGCAGCACATTAATGCAGCATTTCCGACTGGCAAGTGCCACTCTAGTTCTTTTAAAAAAAACGTGGTTCCCGGTGTCTCTGCGGGAGGTCAGCTCCGATCCGCTGGTCCTCAACGGGGAACGCTGCTTTTCCAAAAAGCGGCTTGGTAAGCTTACTGCCGGCAAACGCCGACACCCGGCGAAGCCGACTGTCTCACGCAGAGTGCAAGTATAGACAAAATGACAGATAAAAATAAAGTTGGCCTAATGTCAAACACAAACAGACTCAACTGTGAGATTATCATCACACCATTTATTTGCATTGTCTAAAAAAGGAGATTAGGACCTGAATTCACTACTAAAAGCGGGTCCATCAACACTTTTCCTGCATCCTCCTTTTAGGCTTCAGAGCTGATGTCACAGTGAGGCATCTTGATTGGCGTTGCACAACATACATATACGTGAGCGCGACCATCCGCACGCACTGATTTCAATAAAGTCAACAGCCTCTGCTTTCTTTCTTGCATACCTAATGTGACTGGGGGTAAATATTTGGAGGGACTGCATGGGGAAGCCAACATTGAGCACTTGTTCAGTTTTACAGTTTGCACAGTGACAGCTGTAATATTTTTACCATAATGTCAATTTAGTGTCACTTTTATCAGCGAAACAATCTTCTACGTTCAACAAAAACAACATCAATCTGCATTTAAGCCATAATATGGAAGCGCACACCCAGTGTGTCTCCTGAGTACCGTGAGCACTTGGACGTGGGGTCGTTTTCGGCTGCACGCAGGCAGCTGTTCTCTGCTCCAAAAATGACGGTCAGACACATTTATCGACTGGCTTGTGAACACAGCGGCGCATTTAGCTATTTAGGAGCCACATATTTCCCACTGGAGTTTGTAGAAAAACAGCTTAAAAAAAGGGAATATTGGACCCACACTCATCGGGCGGTTACAGGCAAGACTCCAAACGAATTAAAATGTTGCTCCATAACAGAAAAGTTGTACGTTTTCAATCTTCTGTGTAAATCTCTCCCTCCCGGACCACATGATTGCTTATAAAAGTGAAAATGCTGGAAGGTAATGCAGCACTCATTCTACTGTCTGCTGGACACTGGTCTGATGTCGACGGAAAGTCACCCACGCCTCTGAGCTGTTAGTACACAAATGTGTGTGTGTGTGTGTGTGTGTGTGTGTGCACTCGTTATAACCATTGCGATGGAGCTTCTGCCTCCACCCGTTATGTGCCCATCCTCTGCCGGGTCACTGGAGGACAGAAACCCTTCGGACAGGTCACCGGTCTGGTGGACAAATGGTATGACGCTGCAATAATATTTGTCCACATTCATCCAGAGGATATTGTTCCCTCATGTTTCCTGACACGCACTCGAGCATGAGCTGTGTCCAATAAAAGCAGAATGTACCCACAGGAATAGAGCAAAGCATTGTAAATGTTCATCAGGAGTGGATCCAGAGCTGGTTTTAATTGGGATTTTAAGGGAACAACTTCTACTTGTTAATTAAGCAAAACCACACAAGCCAGCATATTTCTTCTTTGTGTTGCCATGTTGTTTCCATAAAGCTTGAGCACGGCCTGTGCCTTTTTTTAAATACACTGCAAATACCAGGTTATTGTATTCTCATATTCTTGTTCCTTACGAAGAAGAAAAACGGGAAATCCATCCAGCGAATCTTCGCATATGAAGAAGGCTCACCAACAAAACTTTGGCAGGAATGTATGTATTTACAGCTGCACACAAAAGAAATCTAAATACAGCGCGGTGCCTAAAATATACCCTCAAAATCCTCGGCGTGCTGCTGTTTCGAGACTCTGGTCACAAACGCCGTGAACTTAAGTGTGGACAGATGACAGCGAGGGCAAAGAGGAGCGAGAGAATCTGTCCAGCCGCTGACCGGGAAATGCCAAGTGGGACATGCTGGAATACTTCCTCTGCGGTCTCCTATTTCAGCAGTGGGTGGAAAGAGAAGCGTGGGTCTGTGAGCTTGGAGAGCAGCAGCATCTGGAAGGGCCTACAGAAGAACCGAGTGTAAACATGTGTACGCCGCGTGGTAAAGTCTCGTCTGGGGAAGGGGGCACGTTAGCCGTCTGAAGCAAGAAGGGGACACGCGGCTGATGGGTTTTCAGATAACATCCGTTTATTATTGGCTTCACATCACTGGAAATGTGATGGAGATTAATAAACAAAGACTTAAAGGCAACACCAGCCATCCGACCTTGAGGATTTATTCTAAATGTCACCTGTAAATCGGACGCTGAATATCTCTCCCACCCCTTTTTTTTTTACATTTGTGTACAGCTACATAATTCAGTAGCAAACTCCACCAATCCCAAAGTCTGAGCAACCTGGTTCAGACATTGTTCACCTTAAAATGAGCTGTATTAAGCAAGTAGTGCAAATAAAACCCAACGTGGGACACATCAGATGACGTGCGAGTGTTCTACATTTGCGAATTTTCAGGTTTCACATTGTTTGTGTTCAAATATAGCGATGAGCTGTAGCTTGTGAAAAGACTTTACGTGATGCCGAGGGCATCAGGTTGCTCCATATGAAGCCAGGGTTCACACACCTGGGATTATTTTGAGACGTTCTGTGTTCAGCGGAGGATAGGATTCTCTGGAAAACACTCTGAAGTGAGGCAGTCATGCATTCAGCGCAGTCACGACACGGCACAAAAAAAAAAAAAAAAGGGCTAACTCTTAAGCTCACCAGTGCACTAAATTCCACACATCCATAAGAGCAACTTTGAAGGCGGATATATACTGTATGTAATTTCAAGAGAGACGTCTGCCCGCTGTGCGGACTAGCGGCTGAAGTCTGTCACCTGCCAACAGACGGGGCGGCGCTGCTGGAGATATATCTGTTTCAAAGAAGCCAGACAAAGGCAAATCTTTTGGTTCAGCTGACCGGAAACCAAAGAAACCAGTGTAATTCGGTTATTGTGCAGGGTAGGAAATGCATGTGAAACTACAAGACTGAGCCAGATCACTGGTCAAGATTTGTTTCTTGACCCCTTTGGAAAGACTTTCACAGCAATCTTCACGGGCCGTGCCAATGAGCTACATTGTGCAACGAAATTTTAAAAACCCAGCCGTCCTTCCAGGGGCTTAACCTGTGATTTGTGGCACATTGTTTAGAGTCGTGTAATTTTGTCCCGAGGCGCGCTCTGTTGATCACCGAGCGAGACGCACAGAGGTGGAGAGTAAAAAGGTAATCCGCTCTTAACCGCTGAGATCACGGTTTCCTCACACATTTCCCCGGGTTCACAATATGTTGGATCATTTGGGGGATCAATAAGCCGGGGAGTAAATCATGGCTGAGTGGTGCTTGACTCAGCAAAGTCGCAGGTTTGAAATAATTGTGTGAGACAGCTTGTGAGAGTGGGGATTATTGCTTGATTCACTGTGCAGGGCCACAAGCATAGCTGGTGATCACGACCAGGGCATTAGAGAGAGAATTGGGCTTAAAATCAGCATCATTCATCTGCAACAGACTAAAGAAGGGGAAAATAATGATGATAATGAAAGCCATCAAGGTGATGTGAGCAGCTAGTTGGATTTGAAAGAAAAGTTTAAAAGGATAAACACTTCTTTTAATATTATTATTGGTGTTGTTATTATTATTTGAAGGACTAGAATAATATGTAACAGCAGTAGGAGTCGTAGCAGCAGCCACCACCCTGTGGCGTTTCAACCATAGAACCATTGATTTTAAGTTTGAAACAGCACCCTTTGGTAAATATATGTTCAGCATTTTAAAGTGTGCAGACCATTTGTTCAATCTTGTCAATGTTCTTATAACATTGAAAAGAAAGGATTGAACAATATTGCATTGATATGTGTGTCAGTTCAAAAACTTAATTTGCTATTTTTATTTGATGTAATCTTTTGCTATTGTGACATTTGCTTATTATTGTCTGTGATCTGTGTGTGTGTGTGTGTGTGGGGGGGGGGGTGTAATTAAAGTTATTCCTGACCTGTATCGCGGTGTGCATTTCAATGAACACACACGTACTAACACACACTTAGTCAGACATTCTGTAACTTTAACTTTACGGGGAGGAAATAAGTCACATTGTTGGCTGAGATGTCGGGCTTCCACTGACGGAGCTCCTAATTTAGTGCCTTCATCTTCGGTGCCAGCGGAGAACTGGATACTGGAATACTGGACTGGGACCAAGTCTGTGCAGGATTCCTGCAAATATGCATGAATAGAACAATTTATACAAACATTTTCCAACTCCAATGGTTGGAAAACTGCCCCACCAAATCCCCTGACTGTTGCTAGGTGGCTCTCTCTCTTTCTAACCGATGGACACAGAAATAGCGCTCTCCAGAATGTGGCCATCCGGCACTCGTGTTTCCATCACACATGTAATTCCATCAGCCTGTCGTATGTGCTGATACCCAACACGTGAGCAGCAGCAGTATATCCATAGCCATCACTCATCGCTCCACAACAATAGCTCACGCTCGTCCAGACCGCACAGCTGTTGCAATCCAGCAGGAGTCTCGGTCGCAAGGGAAGCTATTGCAGACATAATCAATTGAAACATAATCTGTGTTGAAAATTAACCGAAAGTCAAGGTGATTTACAGTCATTTCAGATTCCCTTTCTTTGCAACCTTGGCAGACAGTTTGGAAAGTGCCTAATGTGTACGATTCATTTGCAGCTTTATTGTATAGCATTACGATGCCAAGAATCTAGACCGTCCGGGCACATGGCAGGAGACCAATTTAAGCTGATCGGTAGCTGGTGATGTTGTGCCTCACTATTAGGGAGTCTCCACCGTGCGATCGGCGATCTAGAAAACGCAAAGTTAGGGTTTGCGATGACGTCTGGTGTGCTTTAAAGCGAGCACGGCCTGCGCGACTGTGGCTGCTCCAATTAAGCACGCGCATGTTCGTTATAGGGGAACACATCAAACGCACTTTTGAAGGTTTGACTTGCTGCTGGTTAAGCCATAAAGCCGTGCACAGTGCATCTAAAGAGTTTCAGCCCGCATGCTGCGACCTCACGCCGTGATTCATGCTCTTCTCACTAAACTCACTCCTTTCATCAGACCATCTCCTGCGCGTCGTCCCACATAAATCAGATACATGAGGCCAAATAATTTGCCGAGCTATCTGTTCGCCTCACGTGCATGCACAGACAGGTCTGCGGTTATGTCGGCCTTATTTCCTAACGGTATTCCGCAGAGCCTGATTACAGCCGGTTCAGAAGCAGAAAGACATAAATCTAGCGGAGCAGATGTGTTAGCTCTCTTAGTCTGAGATTTCGAATGCCAGCAGAAGTCGCGATGCTCAAAGTTCTGAGATTTTGACATATGAAATGACGGTGGAAAGTATTGAAACCCGACCGAAGAAATGCCCTTTGTTGTGATTCGGAATACAACAAATTAATATCACACAAGCGTTTCTAACATGGGAAAACCTTAAAATAATAATTATAATGATTTCATAATACTTGTGCCTCAGAGGTTGAACATTTTATCTACAGTACAAATATATTTAGGCCCATGTTTAAACTATAATCCATTTACCACATCGATTAATAAAAAATGAACTGTCAAGACTGACTGAGACTTCTTCTCTCACATCCACTGTGATGACATCTCCGATGACAGGAAAGTCATAAGGAAGGTTATCTTTTCCTTCATCTACCATCTGTCCCATGCAAAAACACCCAAAGTCTCCTCTCCTTTCGTCCGTTTCTCCAAAAGAGCTAGATTTTGGACGTTGCCATTTATGTCCATATCAACCCCGAAAGCCGAGTGACGCTAATGTTTAAAGATGCAGTCGCTTCTGTAGAGATCAAACCAAATGCATTGTGTTGTGTGCTTTTCAACAACACACCATGCTGCTCACACCAGAAGACTAAAGGGAATTCTATGTTGACGAACACAAAATGCCCTTTTGATAGTTTGACAGTTTTACAACAAAAAAACGCTCATGCGTTTTCAGCAGTAATTCAGCATGAAATAAGCATAAAAAAACATTAATAGATAAGACTAAAATGACCAATTAGTATGATAATCGACTGAGATTGAGGAGGGGGGGGTTCTGTTTTAGGCCTTGACACAAATTAATGTGAAAAAGACTGCTGTCTTTTAAGCGTTACGTTTTAACCCAGGAATCCACGATAACCTCGGCTATTGTTCCTCATGGGTGAAGACGGCGTTGTCTCGGTTCATTGTTGCCTTGAAGGATATCAGTGTGATTAGAAGACACAGCGCGCCATTGTCCACACACGGCTTACTGTTATGAGATAAAGAAGGGCCCTTTAAGGACTTTCCCCAGTTTTCTCTGCTTCGGTGACGTTTCTTAGGTTTTTCTACACAGAGAATACAGCGACCATGACATCGAAATGCTAAGACCGTTGTTTCCTTTGTGTCGTGCTAACGCAACATCAGGGCTCAATTGTCCTGAAAAAGACATCGAGAAACAGGGGAAATAAAAACAGTAAATGAAAGCCTCCGACGAATGAAATTTTTCTCACATGCAGCCGCGTGTGACGATTTAGGATACGAGACATGTCTGGAAAGCGTCTCGCACGCGGGGGGGGGGTCATCTTCGACTTCAACTTCAACTTCACTCATCCCACCCTTGTCGTTTCCGGCAGAACAACAAAGAGCGAGCTGACTCGGGGGAAGAGAAGGAGGAGCCGGCTCGCTGTCTCAGTCAACCTGACCACAACACGTGTCACGTGCGATTTTTGAAAATTCACTCCGATTTGCTGGACAACGAAACCTCCGGCGGCCGCTCGGCGGGGGCTCGCCCCCCCCAACGGCTGTGCTGCTACTCGCAGCAGGTTGACGAATAGATTGGTGGCAGAGATCTATAAGACAAAAATCTGGCGGGAATGTGACGTATCTTTTTGAAACGTTTTGATCTCGGCTTTGCATCGTTTTGCTTATTAATTGTGCAACCGGCTGCTCTACAAAATAAAGCCTCTATACTAGATTATTAGAGATAGTGTATGAAAGGATTCACATTTGCCCACCGCTTTAAAAAATGGATTCATTAAGCGAACACTTCTGTCCGACATCTTTTCTGGTATGTCCCTCGCCATGAGATAAGTACGCGTTGACTTACCAGTCCGTCACAGTTGCTGATGGCCACGGAGGCCTCGGGCATGTCGCTCACGTCCCCGGTGAAAACACAGTCCCCGTGGATACGTTCCTTGGTCTTTTCCACAAAGTCCTCCTGCCATTCCACGGAGGCGCCCGGGGCCACCAGCCTCCTGTTGGCCCTCAGGCGGAGGTGGAGTTCTTTCCCAAACACGGTGACATTGAAAAACAAGTGCTGTGACGGGGCCGGGGTCACCGGGGTCACCGGGGGCACGCCGGGGGCATGGCGGGCCACCCTCCGTCTGCCGCCGGAGGCCGGGCCGGCGCCGGCGTCGGCGTCAGCTGCGCCACCTTTGCTTCCGCTCCCAGCAGAGACCACGTGAGAAATGTACCTGCCACGGGAGTCGGTGCTGAACGGCACGATGAGGCCATACTCGCTCAGCTTTCCGGAGAGTTTTTCTGAGGGACAGATAGTGAGAGGTGAGAATCACCTATTGACATTGGAGAGATATTGGGACCATGTGAAATAAATAAATGGAATAAAATATATGAAGCATATAAATGTAGCTCAGAATCAACGTCCTGTAGACAGAAAGAAAACTCCAGCGACACCAAGGCTGTCAGGTTCGGCTCTACTGGCCCCATCAATAGATTAGGTCATCATTTTGTACCATGACTCCCCAACAGTTGGACCTGACGTGTGTGCGTTTTAAACACGGTGCGGACAAAAGAGAGTCTGTGGAGGACTCACCATGTGTTTCTGCAGCGAAGACCGGATCCCAAAATAGTTGCGTGACAGAGAAGTACATCAATAAAGACATACAATCCATAGCGAGGGCTTCAGCGAGAGAGCTGCCACTTCAGCGCAGAGTTTTCCTTTCTGTTGCAAACTTTGAGTCCTTCCTGCTGAAAAAAAAAGAAAAGAAAGAAGAAAAAAAAAAAAAACACGCACGAATGCAGGAGAAAAAAGTGCTTCAGAGTTGAACTTCGGCGAAGCGGCCGCGCGTATCTGAGCGTTTCCGACTAGACACCAAAGCGACGGACGTTCACGGGAGGTTTCCAAACTTTTGGTCTGTGCTGAGCTGCATAGAGCGAGTGCACCCCATCCATTAGGGGAGCTGAGGTGGGATATCTGGGGTGCTGATGACGACAAATCCCCGGTAAAAAAAAAACAAAAAAAACGGGACGATTCGAAGAGGCAGTCCAATTGCTCTCTCTCTCTCTTTCTCTCTCTCTCTCTCTCTCTCTCTCTCGCTCTTCTTCGTCCTTTCCTTCCTGAGATTGCTTCTTTTTTTTCCTCCCTCTTTTTTTGGGAGAAAAAGGGCAGGAGAGCAAGTTAACGCACGCCTACGATGAAGAAAAAAGTCGGAAGAGTTCAGACAAAGTGTGCGGAGACAGAGTGTCCCGCTGGTGAAACATCTGCCGTCCAGTCGCGCACCATTACGCACCAGTGGTTCGGCTGCGGGACTGTCGACGGCTCCACTTGGGAGCCACTGGGAGCCGAACGTGGGAGCGCCTTCTCTCCAACCAGACAACCGCATAGTTAGCCAAAAATACTTTTTTTTTTATTATTTTATTTTCAAACAAACAAAATCATGATGTTCATTCTAATATTCAGGCTTCTTTCCTCTGAGGGGGGGGAAAAAAACCCGATCAGCCAGGAAAAAGATGAGCCAGATGCACAGTAATGTTGTTTACATGAGTCCACAAACACACGCAGTGATAACGTGGCAATAAATCAACGATGACGGAGGTCAGAACTTTCCAACGAACTTGCTTGAAGAAAAAAAAAAAAAAACTTGTTTGGAGGGAAGTCAACTTCATTACTGTCTAAAGTGCTTTAGAGGCAGGACACCGTAACGCACCAACATTCAGAAAACCTCAAATAAATGTACAATATTACTATTATTAAGAACATACTTTATTTATGTACATGTAGATGTGTATAAGAGAGAGGGGAAGAAAAGTAAAGAAAAAAAGGTCAAGCCGAAAGCAAAGACAGAGAGATTAAAGGATACATATTCATATTTTGCTCCAATATGCAACCATGTTGGTTCCTTGTGTTGATAATGTGAAAATTATTTTAAAAAACGTGAAGCTTCAGCCTTTGGAGGTTGATATCCTTCCACGTTATATTATGTTTAATACAAACTTTAAGGACAAAAAACATCTCACCTGCGTGTGAAACCAATAAAGAGAGAACTTTACCATTTCCATTTACATCTCTGAACACTTTCCAGGCCCAAAAAATCACATTTCCAAGTAGTGGCAAATCGTTATAAAATCAGATCCCATCTTTGCATGAAAAACGCATGATTAAATTACCCTCTAACAGTTATATCTAATCATTTTCATAATCTGGGCTAATCCTGCAGATGTCACTGTGATCAAATGTTCCATTATGGTGAACCAATCCAACAGACCTACAAGGTGTATAAACTCCACGGTAGATTTCATAATGACTTCTCTTTTTGTTCACGGTCCCGGCTCATACTGGACTCCAGACGCTGTCGGTCTACACTGGACCCTCTTGTCTTTCAACGGCTCCTCAACAGAGTCAGGTCTCTGTTTGCCTGCCCGACATCCCTCATGCATCGCCTGTATAACCTCATTCTGTGGCCAATTGCCTCCATTGCTCTCAGGATATTCTATATGCAGAGCAGGTTTTATGCAGTGTCCCCCCCCCCCCCCCCCCCCCCCACCACCCCCAGGGCGGCAATGAGAGGCATTGGCCGCTGATCCAAAGCTGTGCATTAATAGGCGATGGAAACTAACCTCAGCATTAAGAGATGGAAACCATTAACTGCCCTGTAAGACGTTTTATGCTCTTTTTCCATCCGTACTATTGGAGTGTTTTTTTGTTGTTGTTGCTGTTTTTGTTTTGTTTGTGTCCAAAAGACCAGGATGACATTCCACAATTTAGCAGACTATTTAATTAGAGGCTGCAGTCTGTGGTTAAGTCCACACACCAAACCAATTTTCTACTACAGTGCTCTCATTAGAACCCTCTGTCCCTTCCAACTGAAGTGTAAAAGCAAAATATCAATGCACACAAGATACATATATATATATATATATATATATATATATATATGTCTATATATATATAGATATATATATGCCAGACAGCCAGGTTTACTGATACTCTCTTTCTATCACTAATTTTTCCCAGTCATTCTTCAAACTCTACATTTCTGCAAAGATGACCTTCAAACGTACTTAAAAGCCCAAATCAAACGGACACGTTGTGATCCGCCGAAACTGAAGTTTGCTCAGTGTGTTTTGAGGGCAGAGCCGCAAAGCATCCAGCTTCTTCCACCGCGTTTCCAGCTACAGCACAGTGTGCGGAGCTGCGGATGCCTCAGAGTGTGCTGTAATGTGGTCTGGCCATGCCAGCGTGCTGAGGAAATATGTGAGTTTTCATCTCTTGACATGCGGGGAGATGCAAAGCAGCTGTTAGTCTGCCCGGCAGCTTGAGAGGCAACAGGGGGCGGGAGGGGGTTAGGGTTTGACGAGTCCTTGTTGTACTCTAATATGTCTCACTATGCTTGTGTCAAAGGTTTGACCTTCATTTATTCCACCAAAGAGGATCATATTTCATGTGCGGTTAGTTTTTTTTCACATGTCATGAACTGCTCAACAGTGTTCAGTCAAATTGGGTGGAGAGTCAAAGGGATAGTTTAACAATTTGGGAAATTACTATTTCTTTTTAACAAGAGTAAGCTGTAGGCTAATCGCTGTCAAACAAGTCCTCCAAATTAAACAACTAAAGTCATGCGCTTTTTCTTATCTGACACGCGTACCTTGACAACACTCATTTTAAGCCTACAGGGTCAACCACCTGACCCTCAAGCTAACTTTGACCTATGAGAGCAATGTTTCCATGGTAACAATCAGTGACCCCTGCTGACCAGTGTCGCCACATGACCCGATTCATTAGACAGTTTTTATATTGACCAAGTCTGACTTGGTTTGATTTAGGAGTCAAAGACTTATAAGTGTGAAACAGATGGCAGTTAAATATTCACATTATGTAATCGTGCGCAGCTGGCCGTCACCGTGTTTTTCCATATTGAACTAGTCTCAATGTCTAAAGTCAACTGCTTTTATGACCTTGTCATCAGCGGCTTCACTTCAGGACTTTTACATCCTTTTATGTAAAGATAAAACCCAGCTTACACAACAAGAATAACTTCAAACCAGAAATAGCAGAACTTATATCAGCATTTTATTTCCTGGCGGCTGAAACCTATTACCTCGCTCAGTGGGGCGCGCTATACCTTAGGCTTTATTAGTGACACTAAATGAAAAATAAAGTTGTTGTTTTTTGCCATCTTGCACTTATTTATAAAATCCTGGGGAGCACACGTGAGTCTCTGAGGTGTTCGCCATGCTCTTGTGTGCATAGAGGCAGTGTTACAAAGGGGACGGCGGTGAATACATGTGCCCCCCTTGCACCGGCACCATGCAGCTCTCTCATCTGCAGAAGGGAAGCTTTTCACATGAAGTTCATTACATCCCCTCGCGCTGCTCACCCCCTCAATGCGGCTCTTTGTCCGCCGTAATCTCGGGATCCTTCTGAACCGCTAGCTTGGGTTTCACATTGGGGAGTATCTCAATGAGTCTGGAACAGATTTCAAAGGGACGAGGGGGGTGGGGGGGGGGCTATATCATCCAAGCGTGGTCCCCGTGTCCTGGGCTTATCGTGACCCGGAGTCAAGTTGGCCACATGCCGCAACTGAATAGCCCATCTCCATGCCCGAGTGTTGTTTCAACCAATTTGTCTCTGTTTGCCAGAGAGAGAAACAGGACACTGTATACGAAAGTGTGTTTGTGTTGCTTTGCGTTTAGCGCATAAAATCTCCCTTGCCCCGCCAGACCTCTAAGCCAAGCGGGGGGGGGGGGGAGGGTAGAGAGGCATAACCGAGCTCGTGTGGAAAGGGAAACAAGTGTAACAAATGAATAAAAGAAGAGCTACGACCCAAAGCTGCTTGGGTTCCATTTACAAGAATCCAGGATGGCCTGTGGTGTGATAAAATCCGGCCAACTTCCGTAGTCTCAAAGATAAGCTGGCTGTGCACTTTACGAGATGGGAAGTGATCTGAGATATGGGTCTTTTTCAAAGCAGGCCATCAAAGCCAAGCGAGCCTCCCCTGACGTGTCGGCCGGTGGCTCCTAATCCACACACAGCCGTCCATTCTTGTGAGGTTGACTAGATCTTTCTTTTTTAAATAAGACCTTACCTGGCCACATCAAAAGGCAAGTCAGATTAGTCTTTTGGTCTGCCTGAGCCCTTTATTACTGTACATGGAATATGTTCAAATGTCAGGCCAAACAATGAATGATCTGTTTCTTGTGTAAGCGCGTGCCGCTCGATGCTCGCAACCCCGCTGCGCTCCCCGGCGTTGGCAGCGGCATGAGACAAAAGAAGCCGACCCGGATATGCGAGCGCCCTTCTTAGCGGTGCGTATCTGGAGGAGAAAAAAAACAGATGATGCTGAGATAAGGAAGAAAAAAAGAAGAAGAGGAAAGCCAGGAGAGAAGAGACAATTTACTTGATTCCGCTGGTGAAACGACGCATAGCAGACAGTTGTGTGTATTTCATTATCAATCTCTTTCAATTAGTCTGGATCACTTTTATACAGTGCAAATGTGTTGATGCTTTGAAAGAAAATGCACTAATGAGACACAACCAAGGGAAGGATTTTTTTTAATTTTTTTTTAATTTTGTGGCTTATCTCTGTGGTTTTAAGGCAGGATTTGTGTTTTCTAAAGCACACTTTGAACTACAAGATACTTACTAAAAACATTAGCATATTAAACAGTAAGAGTTTGGACTTTTTAAGAAATACTGTACAGTTTACAACATAATAAACAAGAATTGGCATGTGGTGAAGAGAATCAATAGTCTACTTGCAGCCCTGAATGGGTGACAAATCAATTCGGACTTTTTGTTCTTGCAATAAGTGAATGATGCAGCTTTGGCCTCATTGCGCTGTTGCCACCGACGTGAGCTTGTTAAAGGATAAATCTATCCGGTAATATCAGCTGAATGACTAAATAGCTCAAACTGCAGGCGGTCGAGTTGCATTGTGGATAACGTAGGCACCAGATTTTGACATGGAATAATAATGCAAGAAAGAAAGACATAATCCATTCACCGGGAAGTTAATTCTATTGATTAATTAGTTAATTTTAAAGCAACATCGCTCCAATGTTTACACACACAAATAAAAAGTCACATTTACAGCTTTAAAAGTAAAATCAAACTAAAAATTCCTGACCTGCTGTACTGTTAGTACCTTAATCATGACACGTGTAGATAAATGTAAGAAGAAACAGATGCACACAATATTGGTGTTATAGTGTGGCTAAAGAAATTATGACCGATAGCATCTTGTGCTAAATGCATCTTAACAACAACTTAGAAAACAGCCCCTAA